AAATACTATGTTGTGTAGCCTATTACTAAAACGTTTAATCATACTAATACGTGTGATTACTAAAACGTGTACATACATAGCCTACTAGAAGAGCATTTGTAAAGCATAGCAAGTCCCTCAGCCTTCCTTGTGAGACAGTATTATTGTGTAATATTTTCACCAGGCTTTGGAAGCAAACAGACTGAGATGTTTTGAAAGAAGCGACAGAAAAATGAAATTGTATATTGTTTGGTTGAGGTAGGCCATATTCCTTACCGTGCTGTTCAACAGCTTGCCAGGGCTTATGAGGGAGGTGTGTAGCCACGAAAACAAGAGCATTGAGGTGGGGGAAGGGGAGGAGGTGCGACTGTACTTATGGAGGCGGGTTAGGAGGGGGTTGACATAAGGAGTAGATACTACAGCCTGTGGAGGCGCTTGGACCACTGGTGCTTTGGAGATTACTGGAGACGCGAACTGTTTTCAGCGCGCGTACACTGAACTACCCAAAGGCGTTTGGGAGGAGTCCTTGCCAAAACGATGCACGCATTGTCTTAAGAACGAGGAAGCACCAGATATTTGATAGGTACAGGAAGAAGGAGAAATTTGTGAACAGGGTTTTCTCTGGCGTGGCGTTTTTGTTTAAACGGCAGATTAAAACCTGGATAACCTTCACAGACTGCAACAAACGGACTCATAAAAGTTGCGACTGGAGTATTACTGTAGTTTCTGTTATACACTCGAAATCAGTGCTGTAGGCTATCTGGATTTTTAACGCACTGAAGGGAAACATTCAGTTGCATCGACAGTACCTTATTTTAATTGTATTGTATAGCCTTTCACGGCAGTTGCACATCTTACTCTGCCACTACACACAATATTTACTGACACATGCTTCAGAGCAGCCTCACGTTGATAAGAAAGGAAAGAAAAAGGGCGCATAGCATATTTTGTTCGAGATAGTATACGGGCTGTTTATGTGTACATTAGAGTCGCTATCTGATATCTGACCAGCGGTACGCGGCTCTAGCATCACCGCTCAATATCGAGGACTGAACAGCTCAATTACCAACATGACGGATGGACCGAGACAAAGAGGCAGCGCAGCCCCGAGCACCAGCGAGGATGCAGCCGCAGACACGGGGAATGCTGCAGGACAGTCATCGGTGGCGTTGAAGAAGGAGATTGGTCTCGTCAGTGCTTGTGGCATTATTGTCGGTGAGTGTTGTGTTGTTCCTTTAAATATATTTTCATAGGGGGTTTTAACGGATGTATGGTCAAGCATGCGCTTGATTGGATAATGCTGAATGAAACTGTAATCTTCCAGTCTGCTTCTCTCACACACACTAATCAGTCATATGAAATGGAAAATAGGTCATTTACGTTGGGGGAAAAAATATATGGGTTTTTAATAATAATATAGGGTTTTTAATGGCCGATAACGATAGCATTTAAATTTTAATATTTTCAATATTAAACTTAGTTTGCACACATAAGCTAATGTTGTTGTTACTCTAAAAAAAATAATCATGGACATTATGTTTTGCATGTGTTGCAGTTTAATTATTTTTTTATTAATCGTTGTGATGATCAGTAAAATAATCAGTATTGGTCATACAAAAACTATATAGATCAGTCTCTTGTAGTGAAATATTTACAATGTAATGATAACAAACAACATGTGCATATAAAAGAAGAATATTATTTACTCAAACAACAATGAAGGCTGTCAGCAGATTTGGGAACTGACAATTTTTCAGTATCACTACTACTGTCAATAGCCTACTACTTCTGCAAAATAGGCATGTGCTTTTTTCCAGAATAGAACATTATGGTTTAAAATACATATGGAACAAGAATTAAAAAAATTGCACCTGCCAAGCTTATGCCAAATTAGTGTTCTTCACTTTCTCTTCTGGTTTTTATAAAATAAATAAATAAATCAAGTCAGTGGCAGAGAAACCACAAAGTGAGTTGGAAGTGAAGACAGGAAACGTGACTGAACTTTTGTTAAATTGTTGGTTATTGTTAAGTACGTTGCAGAGCAATTCTCGTTTATTGCTTTAGGCAGCATTAAGCTATTAAAAATATATTTGATTTTATGATAGGAGTTAATGAAAACTAAAACCCACCCAAGAGAATCCCTATACCCACTTTTTAACTACAGCTATATGATAATCCTCTTCAGCAATCTTGATCAGGTCAGGTCACACATTCACATGTTCTCAGTCCCCCCACGTGAACATTATTATCAGGTGATTGTCGCTTCGGATCGCTCAAATCTTTCATCAAGACTTTGTTCTCTGTGTGCTTCATTAAGTTTATCAGAATACTTTATAACTGCTGCCATTCTCATCCTTATCAACCTCTTCAATGTGATATTGAACCCTCATTTACCTGGAAATAAAGCATGGACCTGAAAGTGACCTTTCTGTGGTTTTAGCTTAGCCCCATTTTTAGATGTTGATTTTGCTGGATTATTAGAATGGAAACAAGTGCCAGGAACATAATTTTAGAAGAGGAAAGGTTGACAAATCTTCTGTAGGTGAATGAAAGAGTAAGGGATTGTGAAATGCTACAGATATCAAAGTGCAAACTGACCTCAAATGTTACAAAGAGATGCTTTTGGATTCAGAACATCATACATCAAGCTGGTTACAAGCTTGCAAAGTTTTATGTGTGTCAAACTAGATGTAACCAGTCAGCAACTCAATTAATCCTCCAGTAAGATGATTAAAATGAAATCAAAGTGAAAATCATTGTTCAACATTGAATATAATTGGATTGTGTGCTCCTCAACCAATAAAACTAAAGGTCTTGATCTTTACTTTCTTTCTCAGTTGCAGTTTGATGTAGAACCGAAAACCAGTGTTGATGGGGTTTGTGGTGATTATACAAACCATTACAGATCACAGTTGAACCTATTCTATTTAATGAAAAGAGACCATGTTTTGTTCAAATGGCTTGCTTCGTTAACCCAATCTCAGAGTTTTATATGTGAATTTGTAAAAGGGAAACATCTGGCTACCAAGGCTACAGACCCACAGAAACAGTTGGATCAATAGAGGCATGAAAAAATCAATAGGACAGTTGAGAGGGATTCACCTCAGCAAGCATGAGAGCAAGAGCAATAAATAAAAGTACCAAAGTACCAGGATTGTACATCACTGCACAATATATGAGCCATGTCTCTGCAGAGTGATTGACATGCAAATATGATAAGCTGATAGCAAAGAGTGAACTCATTTTAAGTAAGTCAGTTCACTGTGGCCACTTTGGCGCCACCATGTGAAGCTATAATGCATGTAGGCAATCAATGACCTAAATCCTGAATAAAGCTGCAGTCTTGATAGCAAAATTTCACAGGCAAAAATGTTATTGTCTATTGTTAAAAGTGTAGTGATATATGAAGCACAGCTCACAAAAAGTAACTAACCAAGCAGCTTTCTGGTCGCGCCAAATTCACATGACCAACTTGAACCCATTGCGAAATCCGTGTGGGGAAATCTTTCGCCCTCACGTGAAATTCCTGATGTGTGGATTTGTTAAAATTACTGGTTTTTGGTAAAATTACCAAAAACAGTAGATGTGACTGCACCTTAATGTGTCAAATCTGACAACAATGCTATCATAAATGTAGCTTTTTTAAAATCTAAAATCATATACAAAACAGTATTTTTCAAGCTGGTGCAGCTAAATTGCATGCATGTTCTACAGTAAAAAGCCAAATGACACCTTTGTATAAAAGGGCTTTGAACTGAAAGGCGTGACTTCTGTGTAGTCTTTGACAAGGCTTAGCACGCAGTATGATTAGATCAATGTGAGTAGATTGACAAACTAGAATGTTAAATCAGGGATTCATTGCTGCTGTGTTGCCTGTGATGTTTGTGCGGTGAACACTCACTAGGGAAGCAAAAGGATGCAGTATGAACAGGAAACCCATCTGCATTTTTTTCCACTTGAGTCAGCAAGACTTCTCAATCTACAAGTGTGCACAATAATCTATCAGCCCCTTTAAGGATCACAGCTTAAAACGTGTTGATGTCCACATTTCACAGCTTCCATATAGTCAAATAATACTCTAGCTGGCTGAAACCAGATCAATCCCTACATGCTTTGACAATAGTAAAAGATACCTCTGATTGTATAAAGTTGTGTAACTTGTACTTTGAGGTCATGGGACATGCTTAAGTTTGTGATAATCATATCTTGACAGAGCTTTTTCACAACAGAGATTAAAGGAGAGAACTGAAGAGGGAGAACAACCAAAGACAGAAGCTGAATGATCCGGTCTAGTCATAAAGGTTTATGGATATTCTTTTAGATGAGATTATTCTGTGAATAAATCATGACAGCAGTGGCTGCAGAGAAGAAGTCATCTGATAACTTGTTTACAGTGGCATGTTTAGCAGACACTTATATCCAAAGTGATTTACAGAACATAATTGCTGTGACAATCCCAGAGGAAAACCAAGACTAGTTGCCTTACTCAAGGGCACAGAGCTAATCGGGCAGAAACTCTCCAGCTCACGCATACCTGAATTTCCACATGAAGCAGTTTGTGTAAAAAGCCCAGACATGTAGCGCAATCAGGGAAGATTAAAGCATAAACCACAGTTATAGTCCATGTGCAAAGGCGGTAGTCACTCCACAAACTGACTCACATATTAAATCGGTGGTTTTTGCTTAATAAATCGTTTTTCCTTTGTCCAGTTTGCCTGAGTCACATGGGAGTCTTCCTTTGACATTCCTCTGGTTTTTGAGCACTTCACATGGATTTGGTGGAAATGCACCTTTTTAGTAAAGTGTGACTAGTTTTGTGTGTGTACCTTTTATTGTAATAGATTAGTTGTTCTAAATTAGATCTTGTTTCGTTGTAGAAATGGTGGTTTACATTTGCAAGTTATGGATGGTGCAAGTTATGGAATTAATGCACTGAATGCACAATGCATTCTCTCATACAGTACAGTGACCTCAAAAAGTATTTGGATGCTTAAAAGTGTATGAACATCTTTGTATTATATAACAAAATATCTAACCAGCTGGAATTTATTTTATATGACAAACTCGCTTTTCAAGTATTTCAGTTCGAGATGATTGAACAATAGATATATTTCTCAGAATTAAGACTAAATGTATTGTCGCAATTTCTGGTTGTCTTGTATGGAAATATAAGTGAAATTAAATCACACTTTGTTTGATATTTTTTGTATCTAATGCAATGAAATTTAGACATTTTTATGGGTGAAATAAGTATCTAAATATGTTTGGGGCCAATATATTTATCACAAACAGAAATGGATCACACATTGTTGGTGCACTACTGCACTAAGTGCACATCTTTTTATAAAGCTAGACAAATACACACTCCCCCATATATTTGCTGTGTGTACTCACTCCATTAGTCACGCTGAATACTAACTCAGCAAATTACAGTCTGCTCTCTGTGAATCGTTCTCTCCACCTGCTTTCTCTCTCTTGGTGCTCCCTCCTCCTTCCTTCTCTCCCTCACTGACATTTTCATTTCCTTGTGATTTATACACTGTCCTGCTTTTCTTCAGTGTTTTTTTAATATCACCTATTTTCTCTTTGTCACTGTAAGGTCTCGCTGATCTCTATATTTCCTGAAGTGTGTCACACTGTCATCTCATCATGCCTTCCTATGTATTTTAGAGTGCATAAAAGTAGGGAAGTAATTCAGGGACGTATAAAATTAGGGAAGCACCGTATTGTATATTTACCAGCCAAAATTGGGAAACTATATGTTTCTGTCTATTTTGAAATTCAGATCATCATCTAGCACTAATTTAAAAAGACAGAGATAGATTAGGACAAAAATGTAACCATTTAAGCACTATCTCTTGAAGAATGTTTTATCTTTAAGAGCACGCTGGAGTGAATTTCTGTGTGCACACAATTATTTATTTTGTGTAGTACTGTGTTATAATTTACTGTTTTCAACAAAGTAGTATAGATTTATAATATGGACCATAACATAAAAATAATTATTGGCTTTAAAATGTATATCTCTAATGCATTTCTACAAATCTAAAATCTCTTTAAACTCAAGATAAAGTCTTATTTCATTCAAATGGCTTTTAAATTGGAGCACTTTAGTAGATTCATCCAGACATCCATTAGGCACAGGTCTGTTACACGTAATCAGTGCTTTTTTGGAGTTCATGGTGAGAATTGAAAGCTTATATAGTGACATGACAGGTCCAATTCTTTCTGTGTTCTCAACCTCTCTGTTTTTTTCTTTTACAGGTAATATTATTGGCTCTGGAATCTTTGTCAGCCCAAAGGGAGTGTTGGAAAATGCCAGTTCAGTGGGCCTGGCCCTCATCGTATGGATCATTACAGGCGTTATAACAGCGATCGGCGCACTCTGCTACGCTGAGCTGGGTGTTACCATCCCCAAATCTGGAGGCGACTACTCTTATGTCAAGGACATCTTCGGAGGGCTGGCGGGGTTAGGTTTTCAGCCACACACTGGTTTTAATATTAGTTCAAGAGGCTACTTCTAAACAGTCAGAGTCCAAAGTCTACATTATTTCTAAAAGCTGTATCCACTTTTAATTTTTAAGTAGGTGACTTATTATTAGTAATGGAAACCTTAGTGTGTAGGGTCATGACAGTAAGAAAAATAATTATACATTTTTTTTAGTTTGCAGCCATCACGGACAAAATATTTTGAGTTACTGTGGACTTTTGAAATTGTAATGTAATGTGCAATAAATATTACTATTTTCATGTAAAATCATATAAATAATGAATAGCTATTATGAATGAATAGCTGCTTCTGTCCCCTCAAATGCCTGTAATCTCCTTTCAATGAGTAAATTCCATTATCTGTCATAATATTGTAATTAACTTTATAAGTGACGTGACATGTGGCCAAGTATGGTTACCCATACTAGGAATTAGTGCTCTGCATTTAACCCATCCTTAGTGCACACACACAGCAGTGAACACACACACACCGTGAACACACACCCGGAGCAGTGGGCAGCCATTTATGCTGCGGCGCCCGGGGAGCAGTTGGGGGTTCGGTGCCTTGCTCGTGGGATTGAAGGTGGTAGAGAGCGCTGTACATTCACTCCCCCCACCTACAATCCCTGCCGGTACGAGACTCGAACCCGCAACCTTTGGGTTACGAGTCCGACTCTCTAACCATTAGGCCACGACTTCCCCCTTGTTAACACATTGCAGCTGTCTGGTGAAGTAGTTGTATCTGCCATTAGAAATTTATTAATCCACTAATAGGCAGTAAGCGGTCAATCAAACCTTACAGCCCTGGCTTTGCTCACATGCCAACAACCTTTGCTTAGCACGGTGACTGCTCTAATGAATGATAGTGCCAGTCGTGACTCGATTTCACTCAGCAACAACGAATGATAAAGTGATAAAGAGAGTCTATCCTAAGAATAAAGGTATTGCTATATGGAAATAACACAATGCCTATCACTAGCTAAAAAGAATCATGTTATTACTATTATGTGTTTTTTTAGATAAAACATAGTAAGTCATTTTTTTAGGGAAGTATTATAACATCTGTGTGTTTTTGTGCTACAGGTTTCTGCGGTTGTGGATTGCCGTGTTGGTGATCTACCCCACTAACCAGGCGGTTATTGCTCTCACCTTCTCCAACTACGTCCTGCAGCCTCTGTTCCCCACCTGCTTCCCCCCTGAGAATGGTCTGCGTCTGCTTGCTGCCATCTGCTTGTGTGAGTACCAGAAGGAGAAACAAAAGGTCTCATTGTCCTAGTATTTAGGAATGTTAGGGATTTTGACATGCATATCAAGATGCCTATTGATATTGCTATAAGGCCTCCATTTAGAATTTAAGGCCTATCTTAGTAAGCATTGTCAATTCCTAGTCACCTGTCCTGGTAATGCAAATATTAAAATACTGTTAAGATACCATTAACACAATAATTACTTTCATGTTCATGGCTGATATTAAAATTCTATACTTTAATAAAAAGTAGAATCAATTATTTTAAATGCAATAAGTAAATTTAAAAAGAAATCACATTTAAAAGAGGATCTGGCTTTGTGAAAATATGTTAAGGTTATCTGAATGTTTTTAAACCTCACAAGATGACAAATTTTGCATAAATCCTGCATTTTGAATACATTGTTTTATGTTGTTTACCTCACAATTGCAACAACAACTTACACAATCACTATTTCCACATCTGCTTGTGATTCACTTGTTAACACTTGTATATTTTAGACATTTTTCTCTGATAGCGCATGCACACGTTGTTGCCGGGAATGGGAACTTCATTACATCCTCTTATGTTTGACCATAAGGTCAAATCACGCTCAGGCGAAAAAACATTCAAAGCCAGGGCTAGAGAAACAGAGTTTGGGGACTGACAGAAAGAGCGAGATGAATTGATGTGTGAATGAAGAAGGCCGAGGGGTCTTATCCTGGGAGAGTGGACAGAAAGATTGTGGGAAAATGTGCAGAGGATAGAGAGGGATGAGAGTGAAAGAGAGAAGGATGTGTGAAGATGAATGGAATGATGTTTTTCAAGGCGTCAAGAAGCCTTGAGCGTGGGCTTTCTGCAAACTTCACGCTTGAGCTACAAATACTGCATGCTATATGTAGACAGACAAACAACAGAGACCCTAGGAAAAGAGAGAGAGGTCAAGAGAAGATATTAGGTGATATTTCACCTTTCTTCAATAAGTTTCCATTTAAAAACAGCCGTTTAGATAGTTTAGTTATTAATTTGATAGATTAATAATTTAATAACAGTTCATAACCTTTGTCTTTTTATGAATCTGATTCAGAATTGTCTATTTAACTTTTGGCTTGTAAACCAGTACAAGCTGGTTGTCCAGTTTGTAGGGTAACAGAGCTGATCCAGCATTCATTGTGTAGGCTCTTAATGTAGGGGGACTGTATCAAGATCAAAATGTTCTGATTGGAAGTGTTTGTTTTTTTTTGAACTAACCAGATGTTCTCAAGCTGCTCTGAAGCTTTTTTCTTCTTATTTAGTTTTGCTTTTGTTTTGCTTAGAAAACGGCAGGAATTGAGTGAAAGGGCAAAAGTGGACACTATGGCACAGTTTTACAGGATGTCCCTGCTCTTATACCTCTTTACCTTCTTAATGCCTTTTGTTCTAGAACAGTACAGCAATTCTGAGAAAAGTTTGTCTGTAAGTGTGCGCACAGCTCTCTTTCAGAACCTGCCTAAGTAGGCCGCATTTTAAGGGAACATAGGCACACTCTTGACACAAACACTGTTCCAAAAGGTAGTCAGAAAAACTGCTTCCATTTAAGACATCTTTGGCCAAAAACTGGAAACACTGCATTTATATTTTTCAGAGAAGAAAATCCAATAAGGCAATAGTTGTGTCTCAAATGAAATGGCGCACTATGCCTTTAGGCTTTGCTACATAAGGAAAGCTGAAGGTCGATTGCATCATCAAAGTATTTTCATCATAAAGGCACTTTTACTTTTTGGAATTTTCAGAATAAACACACTATTTATACTACAAAATGGCATAAGTATGCAAAATGGGACGCAACTTGTCTGACAAGCTCAGTGAAAAAAAAAATCAATCTAAGAAGTAATAAGTGAGAGAAATGTTGAATATTATTATACTTACTGTAAAAGTCATTCAATTTTGTAATGTACTAAAAAGTTCAATCTACTTAAAAACTCACTATTTTACCCAAATATTTATGTGCACTGTGGGTTATCATAGCTGGTATCACATGCTTAGTTTAGCAACATGCTAACGGTATCAATTGTGAAACAAACTTTGCCTGTGACATGCCGTTTGTGTTCCAGATCAATCCATTTTAAGTTGGGATGCTGCCTATGTAGGCAGTAAAAGAGCAAGACAGTCCACTAGGTTTTAAAACAGAGCCCATTGCGTTCAACAGGCTGTTGAATATGAGAAAAGTTGTTTAGCACATGTTTGTACTTGAATCAAATCCAAGATATCAAGGCGATAACATGTTAAATGAGTAACTCTGGCCTGTGTGTGTGTGTGTGTGTGTGTATGCACTCTGGCCTGTGTGTATGTGTGTGTGTGTGTGTGTGTGTGTGACCTCCACTGTAAGCAGCTTATTGCAGTAAGATTGCTGTTGTCATAGGAATGTTTCTGCATGCTTGCATTTGCACTGTATACTATGTAGTGCAGACTTCACTACCTCAATTCTGTAAGGAAACAGTCTGTAACTTTCTTAGTCCTGTCTCTGCTTATTTTTCTTTTCTGAAAAAGTTTCACAAACACCACCTTCTAAGACGTCCAATCTAGTCCATTTCCCAGAATGCACTGCCCTTATCTCAAGACAAGATTGGGCTCAGTTAAAGGCATGTCATTGCTCTGTATAGCGAGGCAGTGTTGCTTTTACAGAGATAAGACATAAGGATTACACCTCCTTGCCCAAAGCTTTGTAGTGTTTGGTTTGACTGCGTTCCCTTCACATTGTATTAGGCAGAGTGTCGCTTTGCACTGTCAAACTGTTTGTGTCCCACTAGCCACAAATAGTAATTATCAAGGATTTTGTGCAACAAAATACACCACTCCACCTTATTGCAGTTGACTTGCATTGTAATTTCAGCGACTGTCGTGACTAGATGCAGTTCCAGGTGTAAGCAGTTTGACACTGGATGAGAGCCAAGAATTCTCACTGTGTTTGGTCACTGTACACAGAGAGTCTCAATTCACGCCCAGTTCACACTAGTTTTGTACATAATTGCTCTATTGATAGGTTAATCGAATATACATAGCAATATCGGTCTGTTTAACTACCTGTTTTGGTGGGAGATTTGAAATACTGCTTGTCTACAAGTATATGAATAGCATGTAAATGTAAAAGGACAAAGCTGAACTCTGAAGTGCAAATCATGAAGCAGCCTTTTTGCATGTCTTGCAAGTTCTCAAAAGTGCAAGACTCAAAGTTTACTTGCGTGCTCAGGTTTCTTGCGTCCCTTTGATTTTATGACCAAATATGTCTGTCACATGCCATCAGAAGACATGTGCATGTGACTGTGAGCGTTATTTAGCACATGAACTTTTTCAACAGAAGTTTAAATAAGTAAAAATGTATATGAATGTATAAGAAAACATATTTTACATGTTCTAACTAGTTACTTTTTGTCCTGATTTTTAATCACCTTTTAATTTTTAAAAAGCACAAGCATTTCATGTAATCTCTTTAAAATCATGAGGTAAAAATATCACCGCTTGAAAGTTTCCAGTAGAATGATGCTAGCAATGCCTTTCGTAGATTTCAAAAAGTAATGGGTCAAAGACGAAAAAGAGTTTAAGCATAAAAACAATAAGTGTAATACTGCTTTAAATTGTTGTTGTTTTTCCCAACAAATGTTTTAAAAGTTTTCTGTTTAATTTAATTGCAATTTTGTTTTTGTTTTTCCAAGCAAAAAATAAATATCATACATTTTTCCCTGATTTACAGAAGACACCCACTAAAATGTCATTCAGTGTAACAATCTCGTCAGGCATATTTACAACATTTGAAACCTTAAAAGTAGACACTTTACTTACATTTAATGTGCTTTCTATGGACATAAAATCACTTTTGTAAATTTCTTTTGATGCGGACATCTTAACGTCTTTGACCCTAATACATTTTTGAAAAAAAAACCTGCTAAATCAATAAATGTAAAGGTAAAATTTCGTATTATAATTATTTTGTGCAGCCTTTTTTAACCTTATTTCACCTGTCTATCTGTCTCAGATGTTGCAGTGCATTCAAATGTTTATATATATTAAAAATGGATCCTGAAGGTCTATTCCAAGCTTATCATTTGTGTGTCTGATTAATTCCTCATAGCTGAAAGCATTATTTTATAATCCTTTGGCATACTAGACTGCTCAAACTGCAGGGCGCCGTTAATCTCACCAAAGGCTCACAATGTGTGTGTGTGTGTAACCAGTCTTGTAACCTCCATGTCTTTGTGTTTCAGTGCTGCTGACTTGGGTGAATTGCGCTAGCGTGCGCTGGGCAACACGAGTACAGGATGTCTTCACTGCAGGGAAACTTCTGGCCCTCATTCTTATCATCATCATGGGCATCATACAAATCTGCAAGGGTAGGCACCATATGTCTCTGTATGTGTGTGTGCTTGTTATATATTACTGGCTATTCATGAAGGTCTGCGCTAAATATCAGAGTGTATGCGTGTGTGTGTGTGGGCACGTTGCTTCATCTCTAGTAACTCCAGAAAATCTCCAGAAAAACTAAAAGCACAGCACTTGCCCTCTGTCTCGTCGTCTCAGCAGAAGTCACTGGGTTCAAACCCTCTAATAAAAAATAACACTGATAATGCAGCTTTCACAGCTGATGCGTCAGAGAGGATTCAATAATGATCACACTGCCGACGGTCTGTTAGCTCAGACGCTGACCTGATAATATGAGAGCGACAGATGTGATTCCATGCCAAATCTCTAAAGAAAACTGGATTTGGGTTAGTTGGCACTGGCTGCTCTTTAATGTGGGGTCTTCAGGGTCACATATGCTCTCAGAGAGGGTTCAGAGAGTACATGTGACCCAAAGACCTGGCCCTAGAAATGTGGTATTAATACTATGGCTTAGGGAACAAAAATATTGTAGGCTCAGAAAATCCAGCCCAAACCAGTTATAAGTTTTGGAACATGGTAGCTGGTTTCTAACTGGTTCAAGCTGCTTTAGGTGGATTACTAGCTGGTGGGAATCTGACAGAGATGGTAGACCATATTGATCACATGTGCCTTGCTGGAAAAAAAAAGTGTCATGGTACCAGGTTTTTTAATGGTCCCAGATGGTCTACCAGTTTAGCAAGGTTACTACCAGCTTGATCCAGCTGATTTTAGCAGGATTTACATAAACTTACTACAATCACAATGATATTTTGGTCCAGAGAACTTGACCTTCATTTGCTGTTTTTGTGATTACTTTAAGCTGTTTCGGGTGAAAGCTTTTGCTAAAAATTAACTAACTAGCTAATAAACAAGAGGCATTTTATAACGATTTTCCCTTTGAATATTTCATCACTATTGTTCCCTTTCTTCTTTCTGCAGGCGAGTATTACTGGTTGGAGCCGGCCAATGCATTCGAGCCGTTTCAAGACTATGATGTCGGTCTGATCGCTCTAGCATTTCTACAGGGGTCCTTCGCCTACGGTGGCTGGAATTTCCTCAATTATGTCACAGAGGAACTCGTCGACCCCTATGTGTAAGCCAATTCTCATCCAAAGAGCTTACAGTAATTCAACACTGTGTTATCAATATTTAATTAGCGTTAACAAGATACAAGTTTGTAATATCCAGCAGAGAACCACATAATGGATCAAGAGTTGGAATGGTGTGCAAGTATATTAAACTGCACAAGTAGAAAGATCCAAAGGGATCACTGCATAATTTTACACAATGCTCTGAAGTGGCAGCTGGAATCTGCCTGTAGTTGTAGTTGGTAGCTGAAATAATGCAATGTACTTCTTCTGACTGAACACTTTTGTTTTTTATTTTCCTTATAGGAACCTTCCCCGTGCTATCTTCATCTCCATTCCCCTTGTGACCTTTGTGTACGTTTTTGCTAACATTGCTTACGTCACTGCCATGAGCCCTCAGGAACTACTGGCCTCTAATGCTGTAGCTGTGGTGAGTGACCTGTGTCCATTCTTCCCACTCAGACGCTACCAGATTGCAAACTTAATGATTGATTTGCTTTATGCAGGAGATTCTTTGACATATCTACCGAAGTATCAATATTGAAAGTTCTTTGATTGATACTTGGAATGAGCTTTTGATGCCTGCCAGTATACCATTCAAACAGATATATCAGACTCCAGAATCTTCTGCATTCAGTTCTGATGACTTTCTTAATGAAACAGCACAGATATTATGGACATGATAATGCATGTATTCGACCAACGTCCTCTTTTCCTCTGCTTGTCTTTCTTTTCTCTCCTTCACCACTCTGTTGCTCTCTCCCAGACGTTTGGTGAGAAGCTGTTGGGAGTGATGTCATGGATCATGCCCATCTCTGTGGCCTTGTCCACATTTGGGGGGGTCAACGGCTCCCTCTTCACCTCCTCTCGGTCAGTCCCTCCATCCATCCATTCATCCATCCATACATCATTCATACACAAGCCTCAATTATCTATCTATCTATCTATCTATCTATGTCTGTCTGTCTCGTTTCTGTCTGTCTGTGTGTTCACATACTCCCTTCTAATGATTATATTGGCATCCTAAATAACAGTATTCTTGGGTCCTCCTCACATTGTTCAGGTTGTTCTTCGCGGGTGCACGTGAAGGTCATCTACCTAGCTTACTGGCTATGATTCATGTGAAGCGCTGCACCCCAATTCCAGCCCTGCTCTTCACTGTGAGCATTATATACACCCCCCTCTCCCTCTCCTTTATACCTCACTCACACTTTTCTTGAGCATGAATGGTCTTCATGATGTTGTGACATCAAACACTCTCTCTTGCAGTGCATCTCAACACTTCTGATGCTGTGCACCAGTGACATGTACACACTCATCAACTATGTGGGTTTCATCAACTACCTCTTCTACGGTGTCACTGTTGCGGGGCAGATCGTGCTGCGGGTTAAACAACCAGATATGCACCGGCCAATTAAAGTAAGTCCTAAAAATTACTAAAAGCCAGTGTTAACAAAAACAAACCATATTAGCAAGTTTTTGCTCAGTGATTTCAGTAGTTGTTGAGTTTTTGCTGATGACTTACCATCTGTTACCGATCCGGTATTCTGTTCAGCAAATGTATTTATATTGCTATAACCTTTGCATCATGTTAAGATTGTCCAGTTCCAGGTATAGATACAGTATGTCCCATATAAGATCATTTTTCCTTCTGACTGCTAACGTTACTTCTGCTACTCACAGATCAGTCTGGTGTGGCCTGTCATCTATCTGCTGTTCTGGGCCTTCCTGTTGATTTTCTCTCTGTACTCGGAGCCTGTGGTGTGTGGCATTGGCTTGGCCATCATGCTTACTGGAGTCCCTGTCTATTTCTTGGGCGTGTACTGGGACAACAAACCACAGTGTTTCAATACATTTGTTGGTGAGTTGAACACAGTTCAAAGATGTGTTAAGCCTAATGATAACATCACTATATTACGTCTGATGAGAAACTATGTACCTCACACTCAAGTAATTTATACTTTTATGCAGCAAGGATGCATTAAACTGACTTATAACGATACAAAAGATTTATATTTCAAATAACTAGTTTTGAACTTTCTATTCATCAGAAAATCCTGAAAAATGGTATGGTACGTAAACTGAATTCCTTGTGTTTTCAGACAAGATGACATACCTGGGTCAGAAGTTTTGTGTAGTGGTCTACCCAGTGGAGGACAAGAAGAAAAACGATGAGTCTGTAGAAGAGATCGAACTGAAGGAACAGTCGGTTCCACTGTCAGCCGAGGATGAGCAGACACCGAAATCAGCTGACTGCTGAACAGACATATGGAGACATACTTATTCACTCACATACGGGCAGCCAGATTTATTCAGATAGGCACTGGAAATCAAACTCAGATTTTTCACATACCTCTGTATTTTGCCTTTTCATAAAGAGGGGGTTGCACTGGAGTGCAGTGGCTAAGCTCAGGAGACTAGCTGCTCCACATGTCATGTGGTTCTGCTGTAGTGGTCTTATACAATGTTCTCCGTTCTCTCTAGTTGCTAGTCTCTTAGCAACTGCTTTCTACTCCATTGGCTGTGCAACAGAATTGCAACATTAAAATGTGGGATGACATAAAGCTCTAGAATGTATTACTTAAAAACACTGATTTGGAAGGGTCTGCATTTAAAAAAAAAAAAACCTTTCTGAAACATTATTTTTTCTATGAGAATTAGAATTCCGTTTCGTTTATGCTAAAAATGCCAGAATACATCATGGCTTCGCCTGAAACAGTGGCAGGGTTCATTTTATTTATTTCTTTGTTATTGAGTACATTCTAATGTTCTAATTCTTACCCCCTCTTTATTTTTCCTTGTTTTAGTTATCTCCCAACACTCCCAGGAATAAATGTTTTTTATAAGCCAAAGCTGTATTTTAATTTGACATTTTTTAATTTCAAGTGTATTTCCTGTTCTAATCATATTCCTTTTTGTCATTATGAAATGATTGATTTTTTTTTTACATTTTATTTTCTCCGTTTTCTTTCCTGAAGGAAAGCTCTGGGATCTTTTTTTAATCATCATATTTTTAAGGCATATATAGAAGAACCAATTGTGGTGGTTCAGAGTAGATTTCTACCAGGTTACTCTGGTACTGATACAATTTAAGCTCTTTTATTTGCCTTGAAACTTTTACATAAACTGTATAAAGTTATTATCACTGTTGAAGAGTATTTTTCTTCTGTGCTCAGTGAAAACTTAAAGATTCCGTTGTGAAATTAAGTGTTGCAATGGTATCTTCATTCTGTGTGGACTTTACACAGAGAATATGGCTCCTGACGCCATCGGCTTTATAGCCACAGTCATAACCTGCAGGTTTGCTTTCATGCAGCCTAATTGTTTCACAAGTATATACACAAATATATATTCAAAATTGCAGAGCGTTTGGTTATATATGGCGAAAAAAAGAAAAAGAAAAACAGTAGTGATGCATAGATAGTGTCTGTGATGTAGCTGAAAGCCTGTGAGAATGTAATAGTTCTGGTCCTGTCATTTATTATGTGAATATTCAAAAACTTGAAATCAATTATGTCAGAAGAGCTTGTTAAATCAGTCTTATAATGCACAATATATTATAATTGTGTAGGTGGACTGTAGATGTTAATGTAGGTGCAGTACAAGGGACTAGAATCAATCGATCAAGCTAACATAGTCTGGATGATTACATGAATATACTAAATAATTGAACTACACACCTGAATGGAGAGCCTTAAAGATAATTAATTTTCTAATAAAATTACTTAAAATATATAATATAACTGTAAGTAAATAATATATGCTCAGTTCAAGAATACATGATTGAAGTGTTCAGTATGTATGTCACTTGTCCACACAAGCGTGTAAGGCTTTTTAGTGGTCACAGGGTCTTTTTTATTGTGCCTCTGTATTGATGTCACACCTTTACCCACTTGTGAAGACTATGGAAAAGTGCCAATTGTTCTTTGTTTTATTGCAGATCTGTAGTGTGTAGGTGCTGTATAAAAATCAGTGTAATTCACTGCACATCCATTTTGCATGAGCTTAACCCCCCACATTCCTTAGAGACTACAATATCAAATCTATAACCTTCGTACTTCCACAAGAATCACTGCCTTTTGGTTCCTCTGTCCTAATCAGGCAGCAAAGAGGCCTGTTATCATCCATTATTCAACTGACTGCGTAAACTTTAATCATTGTATGTATCATCAAAGGTGCAGAGCATCTTTGGTTGTAGTGATGCTGCTCCTGAGCTGTGCCTCAGTAATCAGCACTGCCTACTCTGTGCTAAACACAAACACTATGTATATTTTATATGGAAGCTGCAATTCTGATTGTGCTGCAATATTTGACTCCTTTCCACACACACACACACTATCATACAGGTGATACCAAAAGCCATGCAAAATTAATTGTCACATATTTGATTGTCACATTAGTAACAAATGATTGATGTTAATATTTTGAATGTCCTCACAATTACATAAAAATCAAAAAGAGAATGACTTTTAGAGATTATATTAAGATATGTACAGTTTAAAAGGATAAAGACCATAAAGCTCAAATTACCACTTACACAACTGGGGCTGAACGTTTTGTACCAGAGTCTTCTTGTTTAGTATATGTTTTGTATTTGTTTGAACAGTATATATTAAAAGACAAATAAATCTATATGCTGAACCAGGGAGGACTTGTTTATTCCGTCTGACAGGAAAAACTGTGCTACACTGCCACCTACTGCAAGTTAGGAGAATGGCAGATTACCTTGTTCAATAGTTTCACAGTTGTCACGTTTAATAATTTAAAGGTTTTCTCAACTCACTTGGGTTATTTATTTACCACATGGGTTGCACATTACGGTTTTTCTCAGTCGCTTTGGCTCATTTTGAAACAATCTTATTCTCTAAACTATTTGTGTAATTGTTTTATGGGACATCACAACTATAGTGCATGTCTGCAAAACATAATTTTGTGCTTCAAAACCTAGCTATTGTGTCAGTAAATTGGCCAATGTCACCAACATGAAAAGTTTTGTCATCGAGTGAGCCATACTGGTCAAAATGTTTAGATGTTTTTTTGGTAGACGATCCTTAAAATCTTTGTTATATATACAAATGACTTTTTGTTCTACTTTTTTTGTTGACATTGACTTGTCAGTTTTGTCTAGCTGAATGCTGCTGTGTAAATAAAGGTGCTTCTAAAGGTTCTTCAAGCAATGCCATAGAATAACCATTTTTGGTTCCACAAAGAACCATTCAGTCAAAGGTTCTTTAAAAAAAACATCTCTCTTACCTTTTTGTAATCTGAAGAACCTTCTTTCGCCACAAAGAACCTTTTGTGATCAGAAAGGTTCTTCAGATGTTAAAGGTTCTTTATGGAACCATTTAGACAAAAAGGTTCTTCTATGGCATCGTGAAGTTTTGTGCTTCAAAACCTAGCTATTGTGTCAGTAAATTGGCCAATGTCGCCAACATGAAAAGTTTTGTCATCGAGTGAGCCATACTGGTCAAAATGTTTAGATGTTTTTTTGGTAGACGATCCTTAAAATCTTTGTTATATACAAATGACTTTTTGTTCTACTTTTTTTGTTGACATTGACTGTCAGTTTTGTCTAGCTGAATGCTGCTGTGTAAATAAAGGTGCTTCTAAAGGTTCTTCAAGCAATGCCATAGAATAACCATTTTTGGTTCCACAAAGAACCATTCAAAGGTTCTTTAAAAAAAACATCTCTCTTACCTTTTTGTAATCTGAAGAACCTTCTTTCGCCACAAAGAACCTTTTGTGATCAGAAAGGTTCTTCAGATGTTAAAGGTTCTTTATGGAACCATTTAGACAAAAAGGTTCTTCTATGGCATCGTGAAGTACCTTTATTTTTAAGAGTGTACTTGTTGTGCAAATAGTAGAAAATGGCACTAGCTTTTTTGCAGATGTAATAAAACTTGTGGTTGACTTGAATAAGAAATTCACATTTAGCGTGAACAATTAGTTGATTGTTCAGTAATCTGACCATATTGTTTTGAGAAAAACATTCTCATTCAGGAATTGAGCCAAAGCAATTGAGGAAAACTTGAAAACTCTTTGAATGACGAAAGAATAAACAGTTACATGCTTAAATGGTTGCATCTATTTTTATTGACAAACTGATACATCAGTTTTACCTTGATTTTTAACACTTCCTGTAAACCTAACAAAAAGAGCACAATGATGCTCTTAACAAATTAACGGAGTGGCATGAACAGGAAAAAGCTGATGAATATTCCAGCAAACAAAGAATGCAGTGGCTACCACTCGTCAGTCCAGATGGTTCAAATGGTTTCTGGTGACATGTGCGAGTACATATCTAAGGTGGCCAAGACAGGGCTGGGTTACACAGAAGAGAGGAGGCTGCTGGGATGCTGGTGGACCCGACCACCTCTCAGTGCAAGAACCAGATGCAGCACAGAGCCACCCTGGATCTTATAATCAGCTGCCGTTTTCTCATCATTCCTGAGGTGGAGAAGATAGAGGGTTTAGAATAAACCTACAGAAATATTCGAGAGCATGATTAAATGTGCACATAAAATACGTTACATCTGTTTTCCACTGTAGATGAGTCTCTGTTGCTGGGGTGGGATTCCCTCTTTCTCCTCCACTCTCTCTTTTATTCTCTCCACCTGAATAAAACGGACGCATCAATGCTCTTTACTGTCAACTGCGGGTTCATCTTTTAACATTCGCTGTAAATCATTAAGCATTTTATATTGTACCTTGTCTGTGGGCTCGATGTCGATCTCGATTTCTTTGCCAGTGAGTGTCTTTAAAAACAATGACGACGATTAAGTCATTTAGACATAAAATTTCCCTCTGAATGGGCCCTTTATCATTTACATACCACAGTTTGTTATAATATTATCTATGTACGTCATACTATAGTAAAATGTTGTTTGATGCGCAATGCCTTACTGTATTTAATAAAATAATTACACTAGCTCAGTCTAGAACCATCCTGACGAACTGGGTAAGAACTGTGCTGAACGAAAGAGCTGCTCTTTTCATTTCTTACCTTGACTTTAATTAGCATTGTGGCTTCTTCTGTTTTAGAAATACATGCAGGGAAATTGAATGCGAATATAATTAGGCGATGGTGGAAGAAGTTCAGACACCTCTAATCAAATTATTCCCACAATTTCCCCACCGAATTTCCTGCGTCACTGAAAAATAATTCCTACTATTCTAGTGTCTGTAGGAAACGTTCCGAGGGTCCGTGTGGAACGACATCATTCGATGACAGCTGACGATTTGGAACGAAGTAAAATGAAGTAATTGTCTTTATATTTTATTATTTAAATACACATAACTTAGCAAACTAACTCTAAATAACAAAAATAAGCCGTCAGCATAAAGACTACAGTACAAGCGCTAAACATCCGCCCTCCTAAAACGACCGCCTCCAACACGGAAACCGGTTTCATTTTCTGCCATACAGCCTTTCAAGAAGGTGCTCAAACTTTAAAGAGAGCAGGAAAATCTAAAGTTCGATCTGATATTGTAAATGACATCTTGAGTGTGTTTTTTAGAGTTGGGTTTGCTTGCAATAGCACTTTTTGTTGGGTGCCTGGGGCATGCTGGGGTGATAGGGAATGAGCAGGCAGATTATATAGCGAAGGAGAGTTTAGGAAGAGAAATAGATAACCATGTATCCCCCAAAAGGGTCTGGCTGCAGACTTGCGCTTGCACTCTCAGACACTTGCACTTCCGCTAGCTAGCGACGTCACTTGCAGTCTTTATTTTTTATTTTGTTCTATTTATTTATTCTTTTTGTTTGAATCTCTCAACATTTTACAACAGTAGTCAGGTGGTGAAGACAAGACAAAAGAAACTAAAATACGAAGTCACTTGCAATCGACACTCGCACTCTCCGATACCTGCGACGTCACTTGCAATCGACACAAATCGTGCGTGACAAGACGCTGTGGTGGGGCTTAAACGATTAAAACTAATTTTGTACCGTAACGTACAGGGTCCTGCAAGCCATCTGTAGGAGAAAAAGACAAGACCCGCAAATCCGTGGCCACAGAACAGCAGAATATGAACGCAATGCACAAAGTCTCGTTAAGCGTTTTCCTCCTGTAGAAAAACATAAACACTTAACATGGCTTAATGTATTAAGATGATATTCAAATATCAAATTCAATATACAGTTTATTAATATAATGATGGGCATGCTGGGGTGATAGGGAATGAGCAGGCAGATTATATAGCGAAGGAGAGCTTAGGAAGAGAAATAGATATCCATGTATCCTTGGGGAGGGTGGAACTGAGGGAAAGAGTTAAAGAGGGCTTAATAAAAGAATGGCAGAGAGGATGGGAAAAGGAAATCAAGGGTAGACATTATTTTTCTATTCAACCTAAAGTTAAGAAAAGATGTTTTGTACTTGTCCATCTCGTAGGGACTCAGTTCAGACTCGGTCTTTCTCGCCGTTTCTGCTGTTTGCTCAGTAAAACTACACTGTACTCAGTGGCGTGCGGTGGTGTTTTTTTTTAAAATGATGATGCAAAGTTCCCACAATTTTATTATTATTATTATACAGTACATTTTTATGTATCAGTTGCCATAGTTCTTGCCAGGAGTCAAAGGCAGCTGCCAGAGTTCGTGGCAGCTGCCAC